TGTGAGACCGCCAGGTACAGAAAGAGTTCTTCTCCAGGTATTGGGGTGACCAGCAGTGGTGGAGAAGACATGTATTCTTTCAAGCTTTCCAGAGCGCGGTCGCATTCTTCGTCCCATTCGAACTTGGCTTTTAACGCTTGAAAAAATGGTCGTAGTCTGTCTGACGACCGGCTAATGAATCGGTTAAGTGCAACTGCCATGCCGGTGAGATGCTGCACTTCCTTTACTGAGTTAGGCCTCTTCAGATCCTGAGTAGCTTTAATCTGGGAGGGGTCTGCCTCTATACCCCGATTGGTTACCAAGAAGCCCAGGAATTTGCCAGATCCTACTCCGAACGCGCACTTAGATGCATTAAGGCGCAACTTGTGACTCTTCAAAATCTGGAACATCTCACCTAGGTCCCTTAGATGGTCGTTCTTATCCTTGGTCTTGACCACCATGTCATCGATGTAAGCTTCCATTGTTTTTTCTAACAATGGTTCAAACATCTTGGTGACTATCCGTTGGAATGTTGCTCCTGCATTCTTTAGGCCAAAGGGCATGACCTTGTAGCAATACAGTCCTCTTGGAGTTGTAAAGGACGTGACCTCCTGGTCTGGTTCGTACATGGCGATTTGATGGTAGCCTCTGTACGCATCCAGAAAGCTAAGCCGGTTGTACCCTGCCGTTAGGTCTACCAATTGATCTATCCGTGGTAGGGGGAAGCTGTCCTTTGGGCATGCTTTGTTGACTGTTTTATAATCGACGCAGACATGCCATTTGCCATTCTTTTTTGGTACCACGACCGTGTTGGAAATCCATCTGGGGTAGTGCACCTCTCTGATAGCTCCTGCCTCTAGTAGATTTCCCACTTCTTCTGCCACTATTTCGGCGTGGTGGAGTGCCGATCTACGAGTGCGCTGAATGATTGGTCTGGCGAATGGGTGGACATTGAGTTGGTGACAGATGAAGTTTGGATCGATGCCTGGCATGTCGAATGATGTCCAGGCGAATACATCGATGTTAGAGGTCAGGAATTCCAAGACCTTTAATCTCTCAGTGCTGGACAACGACGAACCGAGCAAAAAGAACTTATCCGGGTTCTTATCATCTATTCCTACCTTTACCAAGTCTTCCAACGCTTTTTGGTTAACTGTTTTGCCGACATCTGCGAATAGTTCATTACTCTCAGGTTCTTCCACTGAATGAACATATCCCTTGGCAGCGCGGCTGCCATTAACCGTGACAAAGCATTGTTTGGACATAATCTGGTCTCCAAAGACTTCTTCAATTACTCCGGCTCCGTTGGGGAACCGCATTACTTGATGATAGGATGACGCTACTGATTTCATGGCATGGAGCCATGTTCTTCCTAAGATTATGTTGTAAGTGGAAGGGACCTTTAACACCCAAAATTCCACTTGTTTTGTCACGCTTCCTGCCCTAACTGGCAGGATAATTTTGCCGACTGGCCATTCTGGCATTGAGTTGAATCCGATCAGGGGGGATACAGCCGGTGCCAGGTCTTTGTCGTCCAATTTCAGTTGTTTGAAGGTGTTGTAGTACATTATCTCACACGAGCTACCTTGGTCTATCAAAATTCGCTTGACATTGTAATCCTTGACGCGGAGGGTGACGACCAGTGCATCGTTGTGAGGGCAATATATTCTTTCCAAGTCCTTGTCTAAAAAAGACATGATGTTCGTAGGGTCTGTTCTCCCCTTTTTGATGGTAGGTTGAGCGCTTAGTACTTCTCTTAAGTGCTCAGCCTTCTTGATCGATCCTCTGAGCTCGCATACACGCTCATGTTCGAATACTTCATGTATCACATTGATCACACCTTAAGATGGGGCGTCAATTGGTATTCCATTGGGGTTATTGTGGTCCTAGGGGGCTGGTTGCGTCCCTCTTTCAATGTATTTATCCAGGTGATCGGCAGCCACCAACTCCTCCAGATGCTGTCTCAATGTTATGCAATTTTCAGTGCGGTGCCCCTTTTCTTTGTGGAAGGTGCATCGCGATCTTTCGTCGTAGTCTTTCTGTGCTTCTCCTAGCTTAACTGGCCATCTAACGAAAGGTTCATCGCGTATTTCGCTCAGAATCTGGTAGATTGGTTTCTTGAATACCATGGTTATGGCAGTGCGGACTCTCAACCATTTTTTATCCTGGTCCTCTCTATTGTCTCGCCTGCCTCATCTATTTTTGTTCGGACGTTCTACTGCGTTGATCTTTGCTGTGGTCTTTTTGTCTGGTACTGCGATCGTGCCAGATTTTGTTTTGGCACGGGTGCCATCCTCTTCCACCCTGATGTGCTGATGCACTCTTTCCATCAAGGCCTCCATGGTGAGGGGCGGTGTCATGGTGATTGAGTCCCTTAGTCTGTTTTCTACTGGAAGGACTTTTTTGTACTGTGTAATGGCGAGATTGGTGGGGCAGTCCCCAATCTGGTTGAATATCTCCTAGTAGCGACTATTGTAGGATCTTAGTGTCTCCTTTTCGCCCATGTCGATGGAGAGTAACTGGTCAATCTCCACCGGGGTTTCGGTGTTCGTTCTGAACCTCGTGACGAACGCCTCCGCCAATTGTGCCCAGGAGGCTATGCTGCCTTCTGAAAGTTTTTCGAACCAAGTCAAGCCTAGGTCACCAAGGCTTGATGGGAAGAGGATGCACATCAAAGCTTCGTTTCGCCGATATACCGCCATAACCTGGCGAAAGTGGCTTAGGTGTATGTAGGGGTCCGTCTTCCCCTCGTACGTGGTGAATTTGGGTTGAAGGAAACCTGAAGGAAGGGGCACATTTTCAATTACCGGAATGAACGGCGAGGGCTGCAGCCTTGCTAATGCTTTTTCGTTGGTTCGTAGGCAGGGCGTGACAACGACATTCCGACCTCGACGCTTCCATGCGTCCGAGGAGCCAACCGCTGAAAGGCAGATACCCTGCGAGGGTTGCGCGCCCTAGTACCCTCCTTCCATCGTGCCTTTTCTTCCAACATGTTCCGCAAATCGAACGATCTTGGCAACTCCGTCTGCCTGGATGATGTCTAATGCGAGCGCGAAGGTCGATAGGTACTTCCCTCCGTATAAGACCTCAATGATCTCGTTCTCTCAGACCTGGAGAAACGAGTTTTGGAGGTTCTGGTTTGAGTGTCGCCTGTCTTGAGGCTTCTACTCTCTGCTTGTGATGGTGTGGAATGCCTTCCACGGTCTTCTGAGCGGCGAGGGGGCGTCTTGCTTTTGCGTCCCTCTCCTGTCCCCACTCCTTTTCCCTTCATTTGGCGCTTCATGGCCTCCATGTCCAACGCCATCTTCCTTATTAATTCATCTTGCTCCTTCACGCGGTCCTCCAGAACTTGAGGATCAGTCCTTCGCCTTTGTCTGTCAGGACTTTGTGAATGAGAGTGACGGGGGCTATTAGTCTGCCTCCTCCCCCTTGTATCCCTCCTGGAATTTTGTCGCTGTGGCTCTAAGTCTGCCATGGGAGGGATAGAAGGTAGGCCTTCGCGTCTTGCACCCCCCTCTGGTGTTTGTCCGTCGATGGTGGACTGCGGCAAATCTTCGTTGTGTGCCATTGCTTCTAAAGAGGAAAAGCTTGATCAAGAGGTTTTGTTCTTGTCTGAATTCCCACAGACGGCGCCAATTGTACAGGAAAGAAATAAACCTTCTCGTATAGTCCTGTTGATCAAGTCCGTGTTCCTCCAAACGTCGTCGTTTTACTCCCTGAAAACACAAACGTGAGCTAGCCGGCGGGTGTGTACCGGAAACCCCTCTGATGCCTAAGTCAGCAAAAATAGACAAGTAGACAAAAGCTCTCTGTATTCAGGAATCAAAGTTGTGTTACCTCTCCATAAGTAATGTTGTAAGCTTTTATAGGTTCCGCGTGGCACAATCCTAGTAGGACTTTTACTCCTCCATGTAGAGTCCTCCTAGGATTTATACTCCTGAAAGATAATGCTTATCCTTCAACACCCCCCTCACTACATAAACCAAGTGAGATAGTTCTACCATGGTCAGACTTCAACACGACCGAGGTAAGCATAGCTATGCTAAGCCGCAGACTAGACCGAGATAACATTAGCTCGGCTCTTCCATTCATTGCTCTTACCTTGACTCTTCTTAATGCTAACCACGGTATGTCTAGACCGGAATAACCAATACTCCGGTCCAAACCGGGATAACTTTGTGAGTGACGACCAAACTTGCCATAAGCTCTTTGGGACCGGAGTTACTTCAAGTCTCTCGCGGACTGGAGTAACTTTACACCTCTCTTGGGCCGGAGTAACTTCATAGCTTTTTTACTCAGCCCTTCGCAATGTGGCCCATAACGGCCCATTACCCAGCTCGGCCCAATTTATAAGTATAAATTACCTCTCAATAGTAAAATTAAAATTTTCTAAATGGGTGGACTAGGGCGAGTTGAATTAAAACTCTTTATTCTAAGCTTAATCAAAAAATTAAATAAATTCAAACATTTATTCAACCCAACTTTGGGTTCGTTTGGAAAGTGAGTTTGCTTTTTAATTTTTTGACTATTTTAGCCTAAGGCTAAAAAGTCTTGATTGAGAATAACTTTTTTCACTTTTTATAATAGAAAGAATGTAATGATTATGGATTAGATGTAATGTTTTGTTTTATTGGACTAAAAAATCTATTTTATCTTTTTGTAACTAAAATAACTCCAAACCCAACCCAATCCAACCCTTCTTCCCAAACGAAACCAAACAAAATATTTTTCTAAATTCTAAAAATATTGGGTTGAACTAAACGGGTTGGGCGGGCTATTGCAGATGGCATGCCTAGTTCATAGATTGATTATCTTTTTATCCCACAACAAATCGATTAATTATTCAATGCTCTTGGAGTAATACTTCTCTTCCATTAATAAATTGTCACTTAACACTTTATCTCCTAAAATTTTAACACAAAAACTAATTGTATGCCGTGATTAATGATCCAAACAAGTATACCTGCCTGGACCAATATCCACCGTCCACTTGTCATTTCTCCTTTAAATTCTCTTTTGTCTATATATGTACAAAGATGGGGAATGATATCCAGCATCCCAGACTCAGAATCACCAAGAAAGAAAAAGATATGGAAGCAGCCAAGCAACAAACGCAGAGTCATTTCATTCTGGTACACGGTGGTTGCCACGGAGCTTGGTGTTGGTACAAGCTCAAACCACTGCTCGAGTCTCATGGCCACAAGGTCACTGTCCTCGACCTTGCAGCCTCTGGCATCAACACGAAGAAGATAGAAGAGGTTATCACTCTTTATGATTACACGGTGCCGTTGATGAAGCTCATGGAATCACTTCCTCTGGGTGAAAAGGTGATTCTTGTTGGGCACAGTTTTGGTGGCATGAGCTTGGCCCTTGCCATGGACAAGTTCTCCGAGAAAATCTCTGTCGCTGTCTTTCTCACTGCTTTCATGCCTGATACTGTACACAAACCCTCGTTTGTTATCGATCAGGTACAATTATATAGAAATTGATTGCAGATTCGGATATAAAAATACTCATAATTATTAGGCCCACGCCTAAATCACAAGTCAAGATCTTTTATATTGAGTTTTCATAGAACGATAAGATTAGACTTGGGAGTTGACAAAGAAAATTATTATTATATCCTCAATTGTGATAGAATTAAATCTCAACAATTAAAAAAATTACTTTAACATCTATGAAAAATCACTCTAAAGAATTCTCAGTCCTAAATCACTCCTAGACAGTACGATTATTTGTGGTTTTTATTTTTTACTTTGCACTTCATTTATTGAGATATTTGTTGCAGTTTGTTGCAAGTAAATAATTAATAATCAAAACGTAGAAGTTAAAATCATCTTAATGCTTTTTATTAATATGTTATTTTTAGATTGAGAAAAATTCACATAAGTGAGTAACGATTTTTATTTATTTATTTTAAATATGAAATAATAATGATAAGTTCACAAGATTAATTTATACTCATTAAATTTAAAATTGTCATTACAATTATGTAATGGATAAGATTCAATGTTTAGTTACTTTTTACTTTGACTTTTAAAGTTTATTTCTTTATTTCCGTCTTTAATGTTTCAAGTTTTGTTTTTTTAAAATTTATTTCAAAAACTAATTTACAAAATCACAAGAAATAATTTATATTTTAAACAAAATTTAAAAAGTGTATTATAGTTTACCTAAACAATAAATATCAATTATATGAAAAAACACTTATGAGTTTTGACTTTTTAGGTATCATTAGCATGTAAATATTTTCTCTAACTTTCATTGAAATGGTATTTACTCTTTACTATTGTTGGAAGAAATATATCTAGTGTTTTAATTTGATAATTATTGATTTAAATAGAAGGGTAAATTACAAATATATTTCTTAAAGTTTGCTTAAACTATGAATTGTCTCTTATGGTTCTGAAAATTACAAATATCCTATTGTCAAAAAATTTTATTTAACAGAATTAACAAAAAAAATAAAATTTTTAATTACTTTCCAATAAAACAATAAAATTACATGAATTGTTAATTAAAATATATTTATAATATTATTAAAACTGTTATTGACTTAATGATTTATTAATAAAATAAGTCATTTATCATGATATTAAAAACTTAAAGAGACAAGATATAAATTTTAAAATCATAAAAAAAATCTATATTTAAATAAATCTTAAGAAGTGCATTTGTATTTAACGTAGATCTACCCTCGTAAGTCTCTTTGCATTTTATGAGCAAAGCTTGTAGGCTTTTCTTCTAATTTGCGGGCTTTAAGATGTTATAGGTAGGGGTGTAAAAATGATTCGAGGCTTATGGGTGGCCCGAAGCCCGTCCGTGGCCCAAGGTGGGCTAGACCTGTTTCGGCCCGGTTAGGCTCGAGCCCAAGCCCAACCCAAGATCTTGGGCCTTCCATTTGAAGCCTGACCTGACTCATTGGCCTGACCCACCTGACCCTCCCACTCTGGTTCTGCTTGCCAACCGTCAAATTTCAAAAAATTAAAAAATTAAAAAAATTTACACATTTTATTTAATGATATAAATTTTTGTAATATTTTATTTCATTTTGAAATAAAAATTATTCATTCTATAAATGTTATAAAATTAATTTAATGATTGTAATATTGAAAGTTTCATTTTCATATATATAAAATTATTCATTTCAAAAGGAAAAAGTTACATAATTATATACTTTTTTAATTATCAGTTCATAAGAAAAAATATATATATAAGTCATACATAATCAAATTTAAATACCACCATAAATGAAACATAACCAACATTTTATTAATTTTAACTAAAATACTCTAATACAAGTTTTCTTTTATTTTTTTTATCTCTAATAAATAATATACATAGATAATATATTCATCGTTCATTTTTTGAAGGGAAAAAAAAAAAACAGAGAGGCCTGCCCAAGCCCGATCATAGGCCCTATTCTAAGTGGGCCTAGGCCCCATTTTTCGGCCCATGGCCCAACCCGGCCTGTCAAAAAATCAGAAGCCTGTGAGGCCCACTTGGGCCAAGCCAGGCCGAACCATAATTTCACCCGTGATCATAGGCAAAACTAGTGTATTATTATTATAAAAACATTTAATCAAATTGTTTGATTCAATTTTTCCAAAAACACTTTTCAGAAAATTTTACTTTCTTATTTTTCGTATTTTTTTTTGTTTTTATTAATTTTTTTTAATATTTTAAGCAATTTTTTTACTTTTTAGACACACCTAACATAAATACACCCAAAAAGTAAAAAAAAAAAAATTTATAAAAAAATCTTTTAAAAATTCACTAAATATCAAAAATACAAAAAAAATACAATAATTCAATACATTTTTTGTATTTTTATATATTTATTAATTTTTTAAAATATTTGACAAGTATAAGCCCATAAAGGCCACGAATCACCTATGGCCCATCACTTGAAGCCCAGTGCATAACCTAGCTGGTGAGGTCCAGGACAGCTGGAGTCCAACATGGCATAAAGAGCCAATGACATTCAGACACACGGCAAGAGAAGGACGAGACACATCAGCAGACAAAGATCTGCAAAGTTATTGCCACTGCACATCACCATTAATGCAGCCCATCACAGCATTTATTACGACAACACCTCCCCGCCGGAACAGGACCCTATTTTGTGCATCGCACTGTTTTGTGCATTACATTTCATTCGCGCTATTTTCCGCATCGCACTGTTTTGTGCAGTTTACATTCGCGCTATCTTGCGCACCTTACCTGCACTTGTTTGTGCATTGCATCGCGCTATCTTGCGCACTTTACCTGTATTTGTTAGTGCATTGCTTAGCATTTTTTTGTGCATTTATTACGACAACACCTCCCCGCCGGAACAGGACCCCCCTTATCCTGAGCAAGGTAAGCTACAGCATAAGCTTTCGGCGAGGAGAGCAGGTCGGAAGGGACAGGGAAATGATTACCAAAGGATATAAGCGAACGTTGTAGACAAGAAAAAGGTTAAGCTTTTCTATCCTTAACCTCTCCCTCTACACATTACTTCTCTTCCTAACTTGCTCGTCGGAGAGTTCACTGGGGGACTACCCCGTTCCCCGTTGAACTTGCCTGCAGGTTATCCGGTGGGCTTGATCATTTGGACGCGAGCTTGAGGAGCTTGGACCTGCCCGATCCATTCACTGGGACGAACAGCATTATTAGTTAGTGCCATCTGTGGGAACGCCTTCCTCCTCGCGCCAGTTGTGCTCACTGTCGCCGGAGACCCCGTTCCAACAACCTCTCTCTCCTACCTATCAAAGTGCATGGTCACGACTAGATCCATGGCTTCCCACAATAATGCTGCCGACCATCAAGTCGACCCCCCCAATCCAAACAACCCACCACAGTACTTTATCGAGCTTACCAACAGCATCAACTGCATGGCCGAGCAAAATCAGGCCTTGATAAATGCTTTACTCCAAAGGAACCTTCCGATTCCTCCTCCACCACCTCCAGATATTCCGCCCAACCAAGAAAGAACCCCGAGCCATACTGCTCCACAACTCCATCCACCCAACCTGGAAGGTTTGCAACCTCCCCACCCACACATAAATCTACCACCATCACCCCCACACCCGTCGGTCGTAGCACCAGCTCCTGAAGGGGAGGCCAGCAGCGTCCAACCTCTATTGACTGACCATGGGGACCACGTTCCCCTCTGGGACGCTAAGCTCCGAGCAATGAAGCTGCAACTCTAAGGGGTCATGCAGAACATTCAGCATAAACCCTCTACCACGGCAAATTCACCATTTATTGCCTCCATCCGGGACAAACCTTTGCCCACCATTGACTCCTTTGACGGTACGACAGACCCAGTCGACCATCTGGAGACCTACCGTACCCTTATGATCCTCCATGCCTTCCCTGACGAGATCATGTGCCGGGCTTTCCCCGTGACACTGTAGGGTCAGCCTGACTGTGGTTCAGTCAGTTACCAGCGGACTCTGTCTCCACTTTCTAGCATCTCAGCGACTCCTTCCTCAGCCATTTCATTGGAGCCCAGCGCCAACGCCGCCCTGCAACCCAACTCCTCAACATCCGTCAGACCGAGGGGGAGTCGCTACGTAGCTTCGTTACCCGCTTCGACACCGAAGCCCTACAAGTAGCGGAGAATGACAATAAGGTCATCCTCACGGCTTTCATGGCCGGGCTGCGATCGTCCGATTTCTTCTTCTCCCTCTCCAAAAACCCCCCGACCTCCATGGCAGCCCTATTATCCAAAGCCCAGAAATATATGAATGCCGAAAATTCACTAGCCGCCCGGCAAGATCCAATATCCAAAAATCCGACCCCCAGAGAAAAGAGAAAAGACTCGGAACCCAGAAACACCCAGTATAACAGCCAAACACCCCAATATCCCGACCGATCTCCTCGCACTGACCGGTCGGCATCGGTCCGACCGCCCGGTCGGTTCGAGCGGTACACGCCCCTCAATTCTCCCATGGAACAAGTCCTCCACCAAATCCAACGGGATTACCCCCTCAAATGGCCCCTGCCTTCACGGACCCCTTCCAACCGGAAAGACCAGTCCAAATATTGTCGTTTCCACTAGGACCACGGCCACAGCACTGATGACTGCATCAACCTCAAGGATCAGGTCGAGACCCTCATTCGTCAAGGGCGTCTCAGCCGATTCACGGACACCCGCGCACAACAGAGGCAAAGAATCGAGCCCCTCAGGAACAACCGCCGACGTACCCCACCTCGGCAGCCAGCCCAACCTGACCAAGGCCATGACCGCTTCCTACAACAGCCTCGGCCCCCAGGTAATCCCCCTCCGCCAGTTGGTGAAATCCGAGTCATTTCTGGTGGCCTTGCTTGTGGCAGACCATCCCGCTCCGCTTAGAAGGCAGAGCTTAGAAAAATAAGGCAAGGCTCGGACAAAGCAGTGGACACGGTAGACCGACCTTCCAAGCAGCCCAAGCAGTGAACAGAGCCCATCACCTTCACGGACGCCGATTGTACAGGCATC